ACTTGATTTTCTATTATTACTTTTATTATCATTATGTGCCGACATCTCCCGCAGGGCTGAGCATTATTAGTACAAACAGGAACTCTAATGTTTTTTCAGCAATGGAGGCAGCCTTATCTCATGGAGGAGTAATTGTATATGAGCTTCAAATAGGATACGTTTAATGCTGTCAGTAGGTGTACATGTATTCCTAAATGTTTAATGTCCTCTAAAAACAAAAATACATAAAAATACTAAAAATTATGAATCCCCTTTCAGAAGGTCTAAAAAAGTAGCTTCAACTCTCCTGGCTGATTGTGGTTCTTCTTCACATCCACCATATCTGAAATCTTTGAATTTTCTGCAGCTCTCTGGGTACTCTTCCAGGAGTGTTTTATAAATGATAATTGGCAAGCTCTCTGGGAACTCTGGACACCTCCAGAGCTTTGAGGCATTGCTCCAAAGCTTCTTAAGATACCCTCCAGGGGTATCTGATCATTGACCAGGTCTATGGATACTCTAACACCTCCGGAGCAGGGGCGGACTGACCATTTGGAAACTCGGGCACTGCCCGTGGGCCCGGGGTCAGTAGGGGGCCCCATGAGATGCCCCTGGTACCTTTTTCATAGGTTTTTTTGAATTTGGGCAAGGACACAGGGGCCCCATGATCCCCTATTGCCCAGGAACCCCATGAGTTGTCAGTCCGCCCCTGTTCCGGAGCATTGAGGTTTTTCTCCAAAGCCTCTTTAGATATCTTCCAGGAGTGTCTTATAATTAATAATTGGCCAGCTCTCTGAATATTCTGGACACCTCCAGAGCTTTGAGGTATTTCTTCAAAGCTTCTAAGATATCCTCCAGGGATGTCTAATCATTGACCAGCTCTCTGGATGCTCTGTACACTTCTGAAACTTTGACATATTTCACCAGAGCCTCTTTAAATATCCTCCTGATCATTGACAAACATCATCCCCCTCCCTGTTCCTCTTCTACTGTCCTGTGAAATATCCCCTTCTACATGTCCATACCTGGACAGAAATCAAAATAATATTGAGCACCCCCACATATAAAAGTCTACAATAAGTGAGGAATATTAACTCCAGGGGAGATTATATTGAGTAGTAGAAAAACAGCAGTTTTCAAACATTTCCTGAGTTTCCACCTGGTTTTCACCAAAATGTTGCTGATCGCTACAGTAAACCTAGAACCTTTACTTGAACTGGAAAGAGGCTTGAAATGGGGCATTCTGCAGGGTGACATCATTGGGCTTTAATGTTTCTTTTTTCTTTCTTTACCATTTTATACACTGTCCTTCAACACAACATTTATAATCTGAAAAAAAGCCTTATTCAAGGGACCCCAAATATGAGCTTTGCTGAGGCAAGGGCACATGAGTAAATTAATTTCCTAATTTTATGAAGCTCTGAAAACTTCCAATACAAAGTCTGGGTGCTACTTGTGGTAATAAGAGATATCGTACACTTTGAGAGCCATGGCTCAAAAAGATCATAGTTCTAATTTATGGAGTACAGCAGTTCAAATTGAATAAACCCACCAGATTATCATCCAATCACATTTCAGGATAAAGGAGATTATGGGAATTATGATTGTTATCTGTTACTGTCCTTATAATCCAACCCAAATAGCTGAACCAATGTGTACTGAATTAGGAGCATCAGTTTAAGGGCATGTCCTCAAAGATGCAATGCAGGTAACTGGTCAAGGTAAAATCAGATTTGTGCTAGGGGACTAAACAAGACCCACAAGTTGAACAAATCCATGTATTAATAATAGTTATTATACTGGTAATTATTTAAAGAAGAATGTCATTAAGTATTTACAGATGAATAACACAACATCTTTCTGTGAACAAAAAACAATTTCCTGTAGTGCACCCATGTCTCTTACAGTCATACATATGTAGATAAATATAAATTGAATGGCCATGCTTCTTCCATGCGGTGTTATAGGTGTGGGGCAGGACACAGACACAGGAGGGAGATTAACTAAAACTGGTTCACTCAGAATATGGTGCACCCGTGCATAGTAGCCAATCAGCTTCTAACCTGAACTTCTTCAATTTAGCTTTGGCAATGAAACCTGGAAGCTGATTCCTTCTATGCAGAAGTGCACCTGATTTTGCACTCTCCAGCTTTAGTAAATAAGCCCCAGCATCTCTGCCATTGGTCCTATAGAAAGGTTTTCCTTACAGAACCAAATTTCCTTTCCTTACAATGCATACCAGCCCCTGAGTCCCTGCGTCAGATATGTAGGTCAGGTAGACACTGACACTGCCAAGATTTTGCAAAGATCTAAGGTTTATTAACACTGTAAATTTAAGACAACATAGTTTAATGACAAAGTGAGAAAGATTTCACATTATGTGCTTGTCTTTGTTCACCTTGAGGCTCAGTTGTTCCCTCATTCCTCACTCTTGGTGATCTTGGTGACCTCTCGTGTTTTAGCCCGAAGCTTGTTGACCTGGGACTCAGCAATGTCGGCACGCTCTTCAGCCTCCTCCAGTTCATGCTGGATCTTGCGGTACCTGGACAGGTTAACATTGGATTGCTCCTCCTAAGGTTTGACAAAGGAGAAGAGGAGATCAAGCACTGAGCACTATCCATTGCTAAGTTTTAATGGTCAATACCACCAAAAATCCAGCTTTGCATAGTTATTGCTAAACTAACATGGGAGTTTATGGTACAGTTCAGTTTAACTGTCAAAACCATCAGGGAGACACAATACGGGGTATTCTCAGTAATGTGGAATAAACAAATTATTGGGGTGTTTGGAGAGTGACACCTTCATTATAAACCTAAGGGGGGGGGAAATGTGTTGCGCTAATAGCTCACCACTGGAGAGTCTGTCAAGGAAGGAGAATGTAGTTCAACACACTGGTGGTGGACAATAAAGTTAAAAACCCATGGCTGACTATACATTTTTATGACACAAATGACACTATAAATGTACTAATATCTGCAAATAATTAGGATATAAGCTTTTGCAGATGTAGCATGGAGTAGGGAATGGGTAAAACACCTGTAAATGGGTAAAATGCTTGTAAGCTTTTTGCCATCTTTGTCCCATTAATGTGATTTCAGTTCACTAAAGCTACATTCACACTAGCTTTGTCAGCAGGCGTCAGACAGGCGTTTGGAAAGCGTTTTTAACGCTTCTCAAACGCCTATGAAAATTCTGCACATGGCAGCACACAGTGCTGTTCACACTGAAGCGTTAGCGTCGCGTCAAAACTGACGCCTCTTGTTAAGTCAGGAGAAGCTGAAGCCTCCCATTCAAGTCTATGGTGCCACTCCTCAAATGCCTGGCAGGCGTTTGCGACGCGATTGTGAGGCATTTGCAGAGCGTTAATACCATTTAACTTCATTATAGGCGTTTGTGGTGCGGTTTTAAAACGCTTGGCAAACGCCTATCAACTGCCTCAAAACTGCTCATAGGGCGTTTGGGGAGCGTTAAAAATGCTTCCCAAACGCCTGTCTAATGTCTGTCAAATGCTATAGGGGCATTTGGCAAGAGTTAGAAATAAAGTCAAGTGTGAACGAGCCCTTAGTGATTTTCCTTACTTTGCAATCTTTCCAATGTAAGAAAAATCTCAAATGGAGGCACAGACATCAATATAAAAATGGCACGGGGTTCTCTATTCCAACATAAAAAAAATGGCTTAAAATACATATTAGATCTCCTGCCAAAGTGTTGGCCTATTAGGTATGCAGCTTTTCAAGTAGCATTGAATAGGGCCGTTGCACTCACAATTTCCTCAGTCTGCCGCTTGTAAGCTTTGACTTTCAGTTGTAGTTTGTCAACCAGGTCTTGGAGCCTCAATACGTTCTTCTTGTCTTCTTCAGCCTGCAAAGAAGAGCAAAAGGTTGTTTTTGATAAAGACCTTAGTGACTTAAAAATGACTTTTGACTGTAAGCTCATATGTTGTCTTCAAAATGAAGGCACTACTGTCTCTATTGTTGCTACTCAAAATTTCTGTCAAAAGTCAAAAAGTAAAAAAAAAACACTTTACCTCTTTAGCAGTGTTTTACAATAATCTGGGCTTTGCCCTGAGAAATGATACTGACCTGGTATGAGAGCTCTTTGACCCGCCTCTCATATTTACGGACACCCTTTATGGCTTCAGAGCTGCGTTTCTGTTCTGAGTCCAGCTCATTTTCAAGTTCCCTCACCTAAAAGTAGACAAAGGCCAATGTCAGAGAAGGCCTAAGGCTGGGTTGGCTCTGTCCATAGTTTCAGGAAGTTCTCTATACACACCCTGGCCTCCAGTTTCTGGAGCTGCTTCTTTCCTCCTTTGAGAGCTAGTTGTTCAGCTTCATCCAAACGAAGTTGAAGGTCCTTCACAGTCTGGTCAAGGTTCTTCTTCATCCTCTCAAGGTGAGCACTGGTGTCCTGCTCCTTCTTTAGCTCTTCAGCCATCATTGCAGCCTGCGTACAAATCAAAACGTAATGTCTACAATGGTCACAGTAGATGGTAGTCCAGGTCACCAAAGCATGTTGGTGGACAAAATCCACAATTACTATGTTATATTATATCAATATGATGCTCTCCAAGTAATATAGAGTCAAGATTTATAACACAAGTTATAGGTAAGTACAAATATATTCTGTTGTTTTTCAGCTGGTTCTTTGCAAACACTAACATTTTCATGAGAAAAGCTTACAGGCCTGAAATTGTTTCTGCAGTTTCAAAATTAGCAAGAATTTTTTTTACTTTTGCTTTCTCTATTTGACTCTACATTTCATTCTTAGAAATAGCAGAATAAAATGCAAAGAAAAAACCACAGTACACAAAAAAGCCACAAACTCACATCAGTGATGGCCTTTTTGGCCTTTTCTTCTGCATTGCGAGCTTCCTGAATGGCTTCCTCAACCTCAGTCTGGAGCTGAGAAATGTCGCTCTCTAGCTTCTTCTTGGTGTTAATCAAGCTTGTGTTCTGAAAAAAAAACCCAGAATTGTCAAAATGTGTACACTTTGTTAATCAGCAGCTTGTTTCACTCATGGCTCATATCTGGCTTGCATATGGGTAAGTCACCTGTGTGTGCAGAAGTTGGACACGTTCGCTTGCATCCAACAACTCTTGCTCGGCCACCTTCCTGCTCCTCTCAGTCTGCTCCAGAGCTGCTCTCATTTCTTCAATCTCTGCCTGCATGAGGTTGGCTCTACGCTCAACCATGGCCAACTGCTCTTTGAGATCGTCATTTGTCCTCAAGGAGTCATCCAAATGGATTTGGACGTCCTGGTGAAAAAAATTGCAAAGAAAAATAAAGTGGTTTGCAGGGTCATGTGCGAAATGTAAATCCTATTTCTTGGATTGGCTGAATATTAGGCACTAGTCCAAGCAATGAACAAGCATGCACTTATCCATTTCTTGCATAAAGAAAACAGGATTACATTTGATAGATGTCCTCCTAGAAAATCTAAATGACTAAATTGCCCTGCCTTTGTGCACAATAATGTAAATTAACAGCTACTGTTCGGTGTAATAAAGCCTTTGTGTTCAGTTTTGGCCCTGGCTGTCCAGTCTTGCTGTCCAGGCTGCTAGAAACAAATCCCTCTATAGACATTTATTTATTTTATTTCAGGTACTTATATAGTACTGTCAATTTATGCATATATATTGTACATTCACATCAGTCCCTAAACCTCAAGGGGCATGCAATCTAAGGTCCCTAACTCACATTCATACATACACATACTAGGGACAATTTAGACAGGAGCCAATTCCCCTACCAGCATATGTTTGGAGTGTGGAAGGAAACCGGAGTACCTAGAGGAAACCCATGCAGGCATAGGGAGAACATGCAAACTCCAGACAGGTGGTGCCGTGGTTGGGATTCGAGCCAATGACCCTAGTACTGCCAGTGCTAACTATTTAGCCAGTGTGCTTCCCATTTATAACGTTTTATTCATTAACTGCATTATTTTACCTTTTTAAAAAAATGTATGGCCTTATTCTACCTTTGAAGAAAAGTTGTGTGGGGGACACAGAGGCATATTTACCACAAGGCAAACAAGGCACTTGCCTAGGATGGCATTTTCCAGGGGGGGGCAGCACTTCCCACCAGATGAAGGGATGAAAGAAGGGACATGTCTGCCATAGGAACCAGGTGGGATCCAAGAGAGGCTGTGGGCTGCTTGATGGTGTATGTAGAGCCTGACTCCCGTTCCCAGGGATGTCTGGAGCTTTGAAGATGAGTGTCTTTCTCTCTATCATGGGGGGTAGTGGAAGGCTCTCCCGAGGATGGGGGGGGCAGGGGTGTTGATGGTCAGTGTCAGGATCTCTCCACAGGAAGGGGAAGGGGGGGGGGGTGTTGGTCGGTGTCCCTTGGGGCAGACAATTTTTGTTGCCTAGGGCAGCACAAAACCTAAATACACCACTGGGGGGACACGTATTAGCGAGCAGCTTTGTTTTAAGTTGTATTCGATATTGTTTTAGGTTAATTGTGCATTTTGCCTTCAGTTACATTGTATGAGAAAAAATAATAATAAATTAAATCAAAATGACTATCTGAATTGTGGTCATTCACCTTAAGCAATCCTTGGACATTTCTCAGCTGCTTCTGAGATTCGGCAGCTTGGCGGTTGGCATGACTCAACTGGATTTCCATTTCATTTAAGTCTCCTTCCATCTTCTTCTTCAACCTCAGAGCATCATTTCTACTTCTGATTTCAGCATCCAGGGTGCTCTGCATTGATTCCACCACCCGCAAATGGTTCCTCTTCAACTGGTCAATTTCTTCATCCTTCTCAGCAATCTTCCTGTCAATTTCTGATTTAATTTGTGTAAGCTCAAGTTGGATTCTGAGGATCTTCCCTTCCTCATGTTCAAGGGATGCCTAGGGAGTAGAAGACACTTGATGAAGCACCACTAGAACAATCCTTTAAGCTTTTCTCTGTTTTAAGTAATTGTATAGAAATACAGCCGCATGTAATCTAAAAGAAGGATACATTCATTTTTTTATGATTGAGTACCTCTGCCTCCTCCAGAGCAGTCTGGACTTCAATCTTCTCCTGCTCAATTTGCTTCTTGGCCTTTTCTACTTCATGCAGAGTCTTGGCATTTTCTGACACTTGTTCTGTGAGGTCTGCAATCTCCTCTGTAGTCCAATGAAATTTAAAAAAAAATTAACAAATGGTTTCGTTGCTTGTGTTTCATTTATAAAAAAAAAAAAAATTCAAATATATTACTGGTTCACACTAGGAATCAAAACAGGAACGCTGTGCATTCCTGTGCAATTCACATGTGGTTCGGTGATGTGCGATTTGAGCCCATTCATTTTGAAAAGTACTGCATGCACTACTTCTATACAATGCCATCCAGTGCAGGCAAATGCATCGCATTTGCAACCTGCATTCGGTGCATCGTTAATTTAACACTGGCACCAGTATGGGAAAAGCACAGGAAACACGGGTTTCCCGCACCCCATTCTGGTGTGAATGTGGCCTAAAAGATTCAAAAAGAAATGGCACATGATTCTGAGAAAATATTTGATGAGTCTAAAGGGTGTGGTCAGCCAATATAAAATGAACAAATGGAGGTAATAGGAGGGATTTGATTCCATGTACAAAGATTATATTGTAATCTTGTATTGGTTCATAGCTGGAAAGCCCTTATTCTAAGGCTAGGTTCACATCTCCGCGCTCCTGCGGGCCACGTTTTGCATGGGCACGAGAGCTCATTCATTTTAATGGTTTCCCGTGTCCAGGGACATGCAGGAAAGAAGTCCCTGCACTTCTTTGGAAAACGCAGCCAACACGGGAACCTCGGTTCCCAGTACGGTTGCGATTTCCAGTGCGGGCGGCGTGTCATTAGAATTAATGGCACCCGCCCACGGGTCCGCATTCCTCTGTACGGGTGGTGCGGCTGCATAGATTTTAGTGCGGATCTGCAGTGGCACCACCCACACAGATGTGAACCAGGGTAAGCATATAAGCATCTAACCAGAACCAGGCCAGAACTGGAAGATCTTAATAAAATTATCCAATTTAGCTGAACTACAGGATATTCTTAATTAAAAAGATGCCCTTATAATGCCAATGTTGCTCCCCAAGATTGATCAAGATAAAAAAAAAAAAGATATTTGTAAAAAAAAAAAAAAAAAAAAACAAGTTGATTGAGCAGAAGTAATTTATTACGTTGCAAATTCTTGTTCTCCCTCCTGATGGTTTCGAGATGGTCAATGGACTCTTCATAAGCATTCTTCATCTTAAAGAGCTCAGTACTGAGTGATCGGGTTTCTTTCAAAGAAGCTTCCAGTTCAGCTTGGGACTCTTCGTATTTCTGCTTCCACTCAGCCAAGACCTGTAATGTAATGTGGAGTTAATGAATGATGATATTGAATGAGTAACAATAAATTTTATTAAATTACTGTATATTAAATACAGTCAATTGCATTAAATCTAATATCATATAAAAGGTAGGGATCAGTGAGCGCTCAAAATTAGCTGCTATTGCACACTAAGGTAACCAGATAAAACTTCAATAAATATATGAACTAAAAGGTGCAGCGCTAAAATTAAATTATGTCTATTGAAATAGGTAAAAATGTATATATCATAAAATAAAGATAAAATGTTCATAAAGTGACAGTTCGTGCTAGGGTGCCAATCACAGCTGTGGATTATTTCAATATTCAGTGGGGAGGAGGAGATTCCGTACCCGGCTTACCTCATCCATCCTTAAAGGGGACTTCTGATTACACATAATACATGCGTATTTATAATACGCATCTGGTGAGTGCGTATTTTTACCACACTTTTCGACACATCACTGAATATTGAAGTAATCCACAGCTGTGATTGACACCCTAGCACGAACTGTCACTTTATGAACATTTTATCTTTATTTTATGATATAGTCATTTATATCTATTTCAACGGACATAATTTAATTTTAGCGCTGCACCTTTTAGTTCATATTAAATCTAATATCACAGAGCAGATAATGGAGGAACTGTAATATTATTATTATTATTATACAGTATTTATATAGCGCCAAAAGGTTTGCTCAGTGCTTTACATTATAGTGGGGGATAGTACATGAGACAGTACAGTAACAAACAATACACGAGGGGTTCGAGGGCCCTACTCTTTCGAGCTTACAATCTAAGAGGGAGGGGATAGTGACACATGTGAAAGTGGTTGTGGGGGTGGAGTGGTAGGAGGAGTGGAGGAGATCGGCAGTTAGGTGAGGGTGGTTTAGGCTTCCCTGAAGAGATGGGTTTTCAGGGTGCGCCTAAAGGTGAGGAGGGTAGGTGACAGTCTGATGGATTGGGGTAGTGAGTTCCAGAGGATGGGGGGAAATCCTGGAGAAGTCCTGCAGTTGGGCGTGGGAGGTGGAGACCTAGGAGCTAGAAAGTAGGAGCTCTTGTGAGGAGCGAAGATTACGGGTTGGGTGGTATTTGGGTATCAGGTCAGTGAGGTAGTTTGGGGCAGCGTTATGAATGGCTTTGTATGTCAGTGTTATTAGTCTGAATTTAATGCGTTGGGCAATCGGGAGCCAGTGGAGGGAATGACAGAGGGGGGTGGCAGAAGAGGAGCGGTTGGTAAGGTGGATGAGTCTGGCCGCTGAGTTCAGGATTGACTGAAGCGGGGATAGTCTGTGACGAGGTAGGCCGGTGAGGAGGGAGTTGCAGTAGTCCACGCATTTTGATGAAAAAAAAACACCAAACACAAAGAAATCAAATACAGGTTTTTAAACGGGATGAAAGGAGATTCGAGTAAAGTTGTTGCTATAGAAATACATCCATACCTTATCAAAGTTCTTCTGCTTCTTGTCCAGGGCAGCACAGGCAGCATTAGATCTCTCCACATCAACCATGAGATCTTCAACTTCATTCTGAAGCCTCTGTTTGGTCTTCTCCAATGAAGCACACTTGGAATTCACTGCCTCAATGTGTTCTTCAGCTTCCTGTAGTCTCTGGGCCAACTTCTTCCTAAGTTGCAACAGGCATAACAGTTGTATAAGTTGAAGATACTTTGTTTAGAAGTCGTAAGTGCTTTCTGGTCTCAGCTTCCAATATAGTGCAATGACCTAGACATCTCTTTTGTAATTAAACATTTCTCATATATGGCACACAAAATAAACTTCCGAGCATTGAAAAATACATGAGATATCAGTACATGTAATGATAACTCACTTGGCTTCCTCAAGCTCCTCTGTGCGCTGAATGGCGTCCGTCTCATATTTGGTTCTCCATTGAGCAACTTCACCATTGGCCTTGGACAGAGCACGCTGAAGCTCAGCCTTTGCCTCCTGCTCCTCTTCATATTGCTCCCTCAAAAGGTCACAGTCATGGCGTGAAGACTGTAAGCTGTGTGCCAGGGCATTCTTGGCCTGTACAGACAAGCATATTTAGGAGTTGTATTCCTGATACAAATATATTTCTGTATATTGGATAGTAATAAAACTGTATGCGTGAGTTCTATGACAGTGGTGGGTTACTTCTAGCCTTTAATGTATATAATATACCTTTAGCTCCTCCTCCAGTTGCCTCCTCAGTTCTTCAATTTGCTGGGTGAAAGCCTGCTTTCCACGAGAGAGCTGAGAGATCAGAGCATCTCTTTCCTCCAATTGTCGAGAAAATTCCCCTGTTCACAATATGGCAGTTAATGTGAAATTCCGGTGGGTGACTGAGCCATCCTACCCTGTACTTGCAGAACTGTTATATCATCATCTAATCCCCAACACATACTGCAAATATTTACATCACTGAATCTTAGAAAATCACCAAAAAGGTGACTTTAAGGCTAGGTTCACACTAATGCGGTGCTGTACATCGCATGTGATTCGCGCAATAACCACACCGCATTCCTGTGCAAATCACATGCGATTTGTGTGCGGTGTGATTGGAGCCATACATTATGTATGGCTCAAATCGCACAGCCCCCACACCAAAAAAGCGCAGGACCCTTTTTTGGGTCCGCACTAGAATCGGATCGCATGGGTATTCACACCTATGTAATCCGATTCTGCACATCGCACTGCGTTTTGCAGACCGATTTCGGGGTGTTGCTAACTTAACATACACACCCGCATTGGTTCGCATGAACGGGGTGCGATTCTGATGCGGTGTGGAATTCCGCACCAAATCAGTGTGAACCCAGCCTTCAGGGTCACTAAACATAATCTACCGTCTATTTTAAGGTGTAAATTACTTTTCAGTAAACATTCATGATGGGCGGATGAGAGTCCAAGCAGCATTTTGAATGAAGGGGACATTACCAGTACTGTTCTATTTTGTATCTTTGCATCATGTTGGAAAATCCACATACCTGCCACAACAGCTAACATGGAACAACAGGCTGCTGCAAAACCTTACAGAAATGCCAAAAATGGCCTTCTAACTTTAGTTATACCTTTACATATTTGTGAATTTTTTTTTAGCACTTTCACATAATAGTTTGTTTCTGATTTCATTTTAGTGGTCGTTGAACATTATATTCACCATTTTCAGTTTGCAGACGGGCTCGTTGAGCATTGATATCATTAATTTGCCTCTGGTGTTCCTCTTCTTTTGTCTTTAGTTCGCTCAACTGATCTTCCAGTGTTCGGGAGATCTTCTCAAAGTTGGCCTGAGTACAACAAGAAGGAGTCTTAAAGTCTGAGACACCTCATAATTTAGTACATTTGCGCTTTACAGTATCTGTAGGTGAAACGTTCTTCGCTTTGCATAAAGTGTGGAAATGTTGAACCTTTGTTAGCTGTACTTTTTTTTTTTTTTTGCGGTGTGACCCCACTGAATAGGATTCACCCTCTGTATTTGTCTTGCTCATCACTTTCAATGAGACAGAAAATTATGGGTAATCCAAAATTTTACAGCTGTCTCAGAAGGCAAATTCTGTGCCATTATATGGGGTCTTTTTGCTAAACTTGTATTTAGCCAAAAGCCATCGCTCCTTCCAGAGAAACCAAAATGATGATTTCAAACGTTCAAGAATTTTCTGGCTATAGAAATGTATCTCTCACTTACCTTAGATTTAGTAACTGTTTCCATGTTGCTCGCAAGGTCATCAATTTCCATCTTCAGTTCACTCTTCTCCTTCTCTAATTTCTGTTTGACACGTTGAAGGTTGTCAATTTGTTCCCCAAGTTCTGCAGCACTGTCAGCATGCTTCTTCCTGAGAGCTGCTGCTGTGGCCTCATGCTGCAAGGTGGCTTCCTCAAGGTCTCGTCTCATCTTCTGGAATTCTGCCTCACGTTTCTTGTTCATCTCTATCTGAGCAGATGTTGCCCCTCCAGCTTCCTCCAAGCGTTCACTAATCTCCTCAAGTTCCCGAGAAAGATCAGATCTTTGTTTCTCTGCCTTGGCACGGGCTGCCCGTTCTGCCTCAATTTCCTCTTCCAGTTCCTCAATGCGGGCCTAAAGTTAAAAAAAAACATCACTTGAAAGAGCCAGATGACTTTTTGAATGTTTGATAAAACGTTTGTCAACTGTAAGCAGGTAACGGATCATACCTGGAGCTCTTTGATCTTCTTCTGCAACTGGGCACCAAGAGCCTGCTCGTCCTCAATTCTGCTGGCAAACTGGCTAATCTCAAAGTCTTTCCTGTTGTGAAATTGATATGGTTTGGTCATTTAGACAATGACAAAGAAGTCATTTGTTAAAGTATAACTATAGCCAAAACTTTTGTTTTTCATTTTGGATAGATTAAAGGGGTAAAACCCTGTCAATTTTTTTTTTTTCATCTGTCTCCATTTATGGAGATTTCCCTTTACTTCCTGTCCCATAGCCAAACAGGAAGTGAGAGAAAATCTGTAAAAATTAAGGGAATTCCTTGGGGACTCCAGGTCACCAGACCTAGTGTTCCCATTGGAAGATTTCTCCTCTATTACTTTTCTGGGGACAACCCAAAATTTGGGATTTTCTTTTACTTTCACTTTCAATGATAATGGTAAACAGAACAAATAGGTTGAATCTCCTTAACAGGGACACAGACAGCAAAAAAAAAAAAAACTGACAAGGGTTCTCATCCCACTCCACTCTATCCAAAACTGAAAAAAACAAGTTTTGCCTTTAATTATACTAAAGTATAAATAATGACACCATAGAAGTAATAAAACGATACATATATATTTTATACTATTTGTTGTATTAACATTGGTTCAGTTATTTGACTAAACCTTTGTGGACACCTACTTTTTCAGCTTCTCATCCAGTTGCTGTCTATCATTTTCTAGGTCCATGATGGTCTCCTGAGCTAATTTGAGATCACCCTCAAGTTTCCTCTTGGATCTTTCAAGGTCCATGCGCAACTTCTTCTCTTGTTCTAGAGAGCCTTCAAGCTAATGTAAAAAAAAATAAAAATGTTAGCAGCCTGAATGTATATATGTTGGTAATGGGATTTAGACTGTAGCTTCCTACTCACATCATCAACTTGCTGCTCAAGTTTGGTTTTGGCTTTGGTCAATGTGTTCACTTTGTCCTCTTCAGCTTGGAGGTCATCAAGCGTTTGTTGGTGAGCTTCTTGAAGTGCTTTCTTTTCCTTGGTAAGTTTGGCAATGTTCTCGTCCAGAACGGCCATCTCCTCTGTGAGGTTTTTTACCTTTTTTAAAAAAAAAGTTTCATTATCGGTCCATCTTTAAGTTGACTAGATGCTTGTAGAAAAGACTGCATCAACCAGTGACAACTGTAACAGCAGAAGATGGGAAGCTGCACACCAAAACAGCTGAAACACTCAGGGAATGGAAAGCGACTTCAGACCATGCTGTCTGACGCTTTTCACCCCACCTACAGGGAATATTCATAGGGGTCACAGTAACGGCTTTTTGGAACATAGTGTTGTACAATGTGAACATGCACTAAAACTGACAACTTCAACAATTACTGTATTTTGAAGCATTTTTAGTTTACATATAATAAATTACCTTGTTTTCTGTGGCATGCTTCTCCTTCTCAACTTTAGCCAGTGTCAGCTCTAAGTCATCAATGTCCTTCTTCAGTTCAGAGCATTCATCCTCCAGTTTCCTCTTCTTGGCAGTGAGCTCGGCATTTGACTCCTCCTCATCCTCCAGCCTCTCATTCAGCTCCTTGATCTTAGCCTCTAATTGGAACTTACTTTTGATCAGCTGATCACATCTCTCCTCTGCGTCTGTTAAATTCTCAGATTCCTGTTCAAAACAAACATTTAATATTGAACATTTTCTGATTGTTATTCTTATCTTCCAGCCTTTGATTCAGCTACTTGCTTTGTCTCCAATACAAATTTGCTTTCAGCTGATCACATCTGTACTCTGAGTCCACTGAGTTTTCAGGTTCCTAACTGGGGGCTAGACACAGGGGCTATAAGGTGCAGAGACTTGAAAATAAATATTTAAAGAAGAATTTCAGGTATGACAATTATTACATAGATTGTAACTTTGCATTGTACCTGTGGGATCCCCCTGGAAGCTGGAAATCATTATAATAGACACCGTTACTGTCACAATCGTGCATACAAGAGCCAGGCACGGCTCTCACTGTGTTAAGAAGTCTTCATGTTATCCCCTCATTTCCCCCTCCCTCAGGAATGTAATCAGTGTATGACGCTGAGCCCCCTGCCTAACAATTCTTTGCCAAATAAAGCAACTGGGTTCTGTTGTAAGAGACACTCCATTGATTTTGAGTAGAAAAAGAAGCTGTTATGCTTTGTGTGTAGACAGAGAAGTGAGGACCTTCTGCGTTTTAACATCTAGCAGACAAAGAGCAAAGGAGAATCGCGCTGTAACAATGAAACTGAGTGCGACACCAGAAATCCCTTTTTAGCTCATCAGACTTGAAACTGCTTAACCCCAGGCATCTATTTGGCAAGTACTTATTTACCTAAACTTCTTTCTGTTATCTGTTTGCTGTGCTGTTGTGCTCTGTATATTTATATATGTATATATTGGTTACATCTTTTTTCTGTAAATATTTCTACTGCACCCTTTTGACCTTTTAGTAATAAATCTTACTTTCTAAAAGTGATGAACTGTTTCGATAACTCTTTAATGTGACTTATGAATCCCTGCCGCTAAAGAGCACTACTATGAGTGTTTAACCCTCTGTATAACCTGTCTGTGGAGATAGCGGGATACCGACGATTAACCAATCATCCTAGTGTATTGCTGAGTTTCCTCTTTCTCTATATAAAAAGGAGGTGGTGGCAGTGTGAAGGGTTAATTGCGTAATTAACCCAACCCAGTAACAAACGCTCCCAGGCTGCAGGTACGTCGATTGTGGTCCAATTAGCTGGAAAATCGGTGTGCAGGGTGCAGCTGGGCGCGGTATTGTTACGCACATGACATTGCGGTGTTAGATTGGCTAGTCCTTCAGTCACGAGTTGGTGAGAAGGTCAGGGGTCTGACGCCGCGCCCGTCACAGTTACTACAGTGATCTTGACTAGCTTCTGGGTCCTATGCTGAGCAGTTGCCCTGCTGCACTATGATCACAGGAGGTTGGTTGCTTGGCATGGGTGCCATTCAGAGATCACTTTGCATTTCATCAATGAATGCGAAATATTCTCTGTTTGGATAAGGGGAAGAGGCAGGATGGTGACATCATGCTTTCCACCTTATCCAAACAGAAAATGCTTTGCATTCATTGAGAAACTGTAAAGCACTCTTTAAATGGCACCAGGGACAAGAAGCCAACCTCCTGTGTTCATAAAGCGGTAAGGGCAGCCACTCGGCACATGACCTGGAAACAAGTGGAGGTCAGTGTAGTAGGGGAGTCTGCTACAGTGATTCCCAGCTTCTAGAGGGATCCCACTGATATAGTATGTGCAAAATTATACTGGTCCAAGCTAGACCAATGTAATTATATAAAAATTAACATACCTAAAATTCTTCTTTAAAAACTCAACAGGTGCTATTTTACCTCCTATTTTAGTACTTTAATCATTTTTATAGTAACTGAGACTCACAGATTGGACTTGAAGTTGAAGGTCATTTTTCTCTTGGAGAATTTTGACCATCTTCTCTTCAAGCTCCTTCCTCTTTGCCTCTGACTTGGCCAGAGCGTCTTTTGTCTTCTCAAACTCTTCCTTCATGTTGGCCATTTCTTTCTCAGATTCGGCGCTCTTCAGGAGAGGCTTGATCTTGAAGTAAAGCTTCATCCATGGCCAATGTTTGACATTCATGAATGATCGGATGTTGTACTGAATAGTGAACAAAGCTTCCCTGCAAAACAATTGCACATAATTCAGCAGACTTAAAATAAATTACATCTATTTTAACCAGGGGTGAAGACTTCCATCCTAAAATATCTGTTAGGGTCTATGTCTTTAAAAGTTATGTCAAAAATGCTATGTTTAAAAATGCTTTAATAATGTCATTATAAACACATCATAAACAAAGAAAAAAAAACTTGCTCCTGAATATTATTTGGTTGTATAATATGGTTTTCTTACCAAACAGCTAAATTATTGGTAAATATGAAAAAATATATGACTTGGGGAGTCCATTCTTAAAGTGAACACTCACCTCCTTTCCATCATTTTCTTGAACTCCACCCTCATCAGATGTCCTCTGCACAAAGCTTGTGTGCGCGTGATGACATGGGCCAAACGATCATCTCTCATCTCTTCCAGCGTACCCAAAAGGCCAGCTTTGAAAAACACCTTCAGGTTTAGAAAATACAGCGTTACAGTTATTAGAGCTATGAACAGTTTTCGCTTTTGTTGAAAATATAAACAATTGAAGTGAGTGGTAAGGCACCTTGGTATGGCCAAATCTGTATTGTGTGTGGTCAACATCAATGGATCCAAGAAGCTTCTCAGAAGCCTTCTTACTGTCAATAAACTGACCTTCTGGAATAGCACTTGCATTTAGGATTTTGTATCTAGTAAAGAATATAGAAATTATTTAGCCATTTTACACAAGTAACCATATTCTGATACCCTAAGATGATACGATAGCAGAAAAAAGAAATAAAGAGAATTTCATTGTATAAATATATACTTCCAAAGCACTTCACATTACGAATGACCTCTTTTCATTCATCTTAAAGTATATCTAAAGCCTAAACTTTATTTTATATGGAATCGATGGTTAGATTTACTTTTGATGTCTATTTTCCATTGGCAAGATTTCCCTGTACTTCCTGTCCTTTACACACAACATGAAATTAGAGAAAAATTATTTAAAGTGAGGGCAAATTTCCTCTTGGACAACTGTCATCAAAACAGGTGTACTCATTGGAAACTTTTGCTTCACCAACTGTTATGGTCACAACTGTAAAATTTTAGATTTCCTTAATTTTTTTGCCCCGGTGACAATGCTCACCAAGACAAATGAAGAAGGTAAATTAACCCAGTGAGGAAACAGACAGTAATAAAAATGTGAGAGGGGTTCCATGCACTAACAAAATAAAAAAAAAAAAAAGCTTGGCTTTAGAATAGATCATCTTTAAATGTAATCATTTTAGCTTCTTCAAAATGTTCAACTAACAGTTTTTAGCCTTTATGAAAAATAGAATTTGTAGTCTAATTAAACCAAAAAGCGACAGTAGATGCTTCTGCCCATTCCCTACTTCTTCACCATCCTTAGGTACAGGGGCAGACTGATAACTCATGGGGCCCCCGGGCAATAGGGGATCATGGGGCCCCTGTGTCCTCACCCACACTCAAAGCACACCCAAAAAAAGCCTATAAAAAGGTACCAGGGGCATTTCATGGGGCCCCCTACTGACCCCGGGCCCTCAGGCAGTGCCCTAGTGCTCGAATGGTCAGTCCGCCCAAACCACATCTCCCAAACTCTCTTCTTTAAGATTCTTACATAAGGATTGAGGTCATTGAAAGTCAATGCTTTTTTCTTACTGCAATGCGGGACCTAAATCCAATATTTAATGTCTGGGTTAAATGTAACAATTAGTTCAGTGTACACTGTTGACCTCTAATGCCAAACACAATAAATATGTGTCACGCTTTTGGTCAAAGAAAGCGTATAATACCAGTCTTTATAATTTATTTTTTCAGTCTATCCATCCTAAAAACAACCTAACCTAACTCCACCCGCAAGGAGCTTTAAATTGACAAAACCTTCGAAGGAAACTTTACAATTTGTGGCTTTTGTTGCTTTGCCCTGAAAAAGATCCTAGTTTGTGGAGTATAACTAAACAAAAACACTTTTGAAACCTGCAGGCCAGTATCTATATTACTGATTGAGATATGGACAGCTTCTATATAAAACTATATTAAATCTTCAGCCTATAAAAACATGCACAAATTTTACATCAACTTTGTTGAACTTTTAACTGTCCACTTAAGATTCCCTCTCTACAACTTTATATTGATCTTCCCTGACGTTGTTACCCGGCTCTTTTGGCTACGGTACCTCTGTTTGAAATCACCATAAAGGATTCTGCTTGGGAAGCCTTTTCTGCAAATCCTGATGCCCTCCAGCACTCCATTGCACCTCAGCTGATGCAGGACCAGTTCATGTTCCATGGCACCTTTAGGGAGAGAGACGTCAGATGTTTTAAGGATCCTTCTGATCACCTGACTGCACGCTGAATATTCGCCACTCACTGCCCTTAATCTCACCTGGTGTTTTGGTCTCATTGGGAATGAGGCACCGTACAAAGTGAGGATGAGTTGTCCTAAGATTGGTCATCAGTTTATTTAAATTTTCCTGTAACAAAATAAAGTTGCATTGATAAATTATAGGACGGCTGTAGGACCGGCTATCCTAGACCTACAACGACCTGGAACCGGCTCTGCTAAATATTACAATATTGTATAGGGCAGTGTTTCTCAACTTTGTTTCTGTCGGGGCACCCTTTAAAATTTTGCACACTCTCAAGGCACCCCATTCTAAACTGTAAATATCTAAATTAATAGTTTTACTTGTAGAAACATCCACACATGTAGGACACCCAACATTAGAGGCGATTTATTCTTCCAAAGCAAATACACCTTTGCAAACTGGTACTGACTAGTATTCTGGCATTTCTTTTCTCCCTCAGTTTCTCTTACTCAGTTAATGTGACCCCAGTGCTGACAGAGAGGGGTATGGGGTGGGCAAACAGGATGCCGTGTAGGTGCCAGATGTCCGCCTTTTCCACCAATGTCACTGGCTGTTAGGACACTGGTGACTGGAAGGTCGTAATGGTGCACAATGAAAACCTATGGCTTTGCGTTACTAAAAGGCAGGCTTCATCCAACCGCTGCCTTGTATACAATTTTGGGGCAATTTTTAGGCATTTTGCCAAGGCATCCCTGAAGAAGCCTGAAGGCACCCTGGTTAAAAAAGGCTGGTATAGACTACCAGGGATGGGTCTTTAATGGGAGGTATGTGTTCCCGTTGTTTGGGCTGTGGTCCCTTTAAGGGGACACCAAGAAGCAGCTGGAGTGTTAAGGGACTCTCACCCAAGCAGGGTGATGGGTTCTGGGGTGAACCAGTAAAGGGGGAAACCTGACTTGCAGTTTTTCCAAGATTAATAAGTCCTCAAATGGGTCCTGGAAATTGAAGGCTTTGTGAGGGATTTTTAGGTGGGAAACCTAACCTTGACTATGGGTACGTTGGTCCTGAAAGGGTTAACCCACCTGTGACAGAGGGTTGAAAAGGGTAGTAAGCAGCCAGCAGGTGTCCACAAGGTTTTGAGTGGAACAAGACACACTTGTGAGAGGACTGTGGGCTGTCTGGCTACTGAGAGGCTGCTTGGGGTCTTTTCTGTACTCCTGGAGCAGGCAGGGACTTTAGACCCCATTGTGGAACAAATTTATACTGGTGGTGAGCTGAAGTTTCACTTTTACAAAGACTCCAGGCTGGTGATCCAGAACTCCAAAATATCACAATTATGTTCTGTATCGTTGGATTATCAGCACATCAAAAATACCAAACAAATATAAACGTTAGGTGTAAAAATATATATTTTTTTCCCTCTGAAACTTAGTAACAGCATTCAGTTTAGGAAAAGGATTCTCATGATTCTTATCCCCCTGCTGCTAAAAACAGGGTTTGAGTTTTATTATATAGACTTCATTTTCATTGGAATATAGCATCTCTGACAATGTCATTAGCTTTTGTATACTGGGAGCTTCAGCTTTGGTTACCATGATTGTAATAAATCTAAAAGAATCCCAAACATGGAGTTTGACCCATTACAACTCTGTAATGGATTGTGGTATTATATTAACCACTTCCCGCCCAGCCCACTTATATAAACGGCCAGACGGGAGCAGTGGTGCAGGTGCGGGTGGCCATTTATAAATGTCCTCACTGCTCCCTTCTTGTGTGCACTTCCTGGGTGTTCCTCCGGACACAGCAGAACACCGATCGCTGCACGGGACCTCTGTGTGAGGTTCCGATCATGTGATCACTGATTGGCCAATCAGTGATCACATGCAGAGTAGTAAGCAAGATGTCACTTCTGACATCATTGCTTACTACGTGTGAAATCTGTGAATGATCACAGAAGTCACATGGTACTGGACTATTCACAACAGCCTTGTACCATGTGACAAGCTGTGACCAATCACAGCTCACACAGTATTTCTCAATGGCTGCAAGAATGCAGCCAGAGAGGAGAAAAGATTGCTTTTACAGCCTTTATGGGTGTAAAAGCAATCAGTGTAAAAAAAAAATCTTAATCACCCCCCACAAGTAGTACAGTGTAAATATGGTGACACTGTACTGCTAGGGTGACAGTATGTAAAAAAAAACAAATAATAATATAAAAAAATAAAATAAAAATGTAAAAAAATTTTTTAGAAAAATTATAATTTTTGGTTATAAGCTCATTTGGGTTATTTTTTTTTTTACTAAAAAGATAATTGAATAAATTTTGGCCAAGATTTATGAAGAAAGATTATTTGCAAAATTTTATAAGAAAAACACTTTTTTCAAAATATTTGGAGTTTTTCATTTTTATAGCAAAACAAAAAAATCCCAGCGGTGAATAAATACCACCAAGATAAAGTTTTATCTGTCTCAAAAAAAATGCTACAAAATTCATATGGGTACAGTGTTGCATGACCGCGCAATTGTTATTCAAAGTGTGATAGCACTGAAAGCTGAAAATTGGCCTGGACAGGAAGGGGGTAAAGAGAGAAATATCCACTTGACGCTCATTTAGAAAGATTTCAGTTAGTACCATAACATGGGGGTCCTTACACAGAACATGCCTGTACAGCAAAGCATTGATGTGGGGTGTATACTTTTTTGACAATCTTAAATTGTGCTAAATTTTAATAAATAACATAAATAATCCTGATTAACTGATTTCTCGCTCAAAGGAAATTAAAAAAACATACAGGCAGCAGACTAGACTTGAAATTCAGTCATGTTATTGTGACTTTGTAGGGACCTTACTTACCCTGAAGAGAGCAGATACAGTCTGGAAAGATGAACCCTTCTTTTTACCGCCCTTCTTTGCACCGCCCTCTGCCAGATGACAAGAGAGTATTCATTTTGTCTGCTTATATTTTCCTTCCTTTGTTCCTCTCTCCCCCCTCATCAACATGCAATGACATTTGTAAATAAAACATTTCCATTTTCATTATATATCTTATTTTATACCCAGTGATGTCGTCATTCACATTCACAAAGAACTATTTTCTACATTTGAAGTGAAATATTTCTCCCATGGTGTCTGCCAATTTTTGAGTTTGCTTTGTACACTAACCTGCTTCATTACTAGAATAGCTGGAGAAGAGGAAGGCCAATGTCTTCATGGAGGATTTCTGGTAGAGGCCAATGACAGTCTCATTCAGTGGGTCCTTGTTCTTGTCAAGCCAGCCTGAGATATTGTAGTCCACAGTTCCAGCATAGTGGACCAGAGAAAAGTGGGCCTCAGCTTTGCCTTTGGTTGGTTTGGGTTTCTGGAAGTTGTTGGATTTGCCCAAATGTTGGTCATACAGCTTGTTCTTGAAGGAAGTGTCTGTTGCCTTGGGGAACATGCACTCCTCTTCCAGGATTGAGAAGATGCCCATTGGCTATGTGCAATAAGACAAAATATATTTACAGCACATTTTATACAATACCTATAGGATGCACCTAAGTGTTCTACCGAACAAAATACCTTTTCAATCAACTCAATGCAGGCAGCCAAGTCCATGCCGAAGTCAATAAATTCCCACTCAATGCCTTCCTTCTTGTACTCCTCTTGTTCCAGCACGAACATATGGTGGTTGAAGAATTGTTGCAGCTTTTCATTAGTGAAGTTGATACAAAGCTGCTCCAAACTGTTGAACTGTGTGGAAAGACATGTTAATGATCACTCATAGTTAGTACAGAGCTTCATTTAAATTTCAGACACACAGGGTTATATGTGTTGATCAAAACAACATTTGCTTACATCAAAGATTTCAAATCCAGCAATATCCAGGACACCAATAAAGAACTGCCTTGGCTGCTTGGTGTCCAACATCTCATTGATACGTGTGACCATCCACAAGAACATTTTCTCATAGACTGATTTGCCCAAAGCACCAACAGAGTTGTAGACCTGGAAGTGGATAAGAGACAAATGGAACTATTACCTGTGAAATATCATTTTTTCTGGCAACCCTGGCTATATCAATTTTCAATAACGAGCCAGCCTACCCATTTTTTTGGATTTGTATAATTCCTATCTGGCACATTTGTGGTGGCCTTGGATCCCCTGGGGTGGGGCCTGTGTTATTTTCTGAGGCCCTTACCCCCTATTATTCCATTTTTTTCTCTCCTCCTCTTTCTTATTCTGTTTTTTTTTCCTGATATCTTCTGCTTTCTACTTTGCTTTTTTTAGCGCCAGTAGCCATCCTGCTGAGACAGTTCATTGCCTCCTGGCTTCTTTTGTGGTGCCAATATTGTGCTAATGTTGCATTCTATTTCATATCTGTGGGCATACGAGATAGACCTTTGGCCCTGGAGCTGGTCTTTAGGCCCTTTTCATTATATATATATATATACATACAGGTCGAACTTAGGTGCTATTCTGTGTATGATACTATATGCTCTGAGTCATTTTTGGTTTATGTATACCTTTACTCCCTAGGTCTTCGACCACTGGGATCCATACTTATTGTTGTCTTCCTAATAGAATGTACTGAATTCAGGGTAACTTCATTTTGTTGTTTTCATTGTCTTTTCTTTGTTTGTTTTCATTGTTTACGATGTAAATGGGGCCTTTTTGTATGTGGTGTCTCTGTCTTGGCTTTCTGCTACTTTCCATTGTCCACACTTTAAACAAGTCACAGCAGTTCCATGGGGATGAAAAACTTGGATTACAAACCCAGCCCTAGTCCATAACTGACTTGGCTACAGTGAATAGAGACAACACCACATTCCAACCAGCCACCATAGCCTGTGTATGAAGATCAGCTTCAGCCAACAAGAAGCCATGCCCTCTGATGCATTTTGCTCCACCCACCAGGGCTTAGGCTGGCCATACACTATAAATCTTCTTACAATTTTCTCTCCAATTTCCTTTAGATTTACCTTCAACTATGTAGTGCAAGGGCCCGCCTAATTGGATACAATTGAAAGTGTTGTTAGGTTTGACCTCCTATTATATGGTTTTTGGTAAATCTAAAAACCCAAAAATCTCAAGAAAATTGTATAATGTATGGCCAGCCTTAGTTACAGGGTCACATTTGGTGTGTATTGATTACAGGGATATCCTCAGACAAGTCCACCTACCTGCTGCACAGTCTGCCCTTTGGTGACAAATTCATTTCCAACTTTGACCCTGGGATAGCACAGAGCTTTTAGCAGATCAGCAGAGTTCAGACACATTAGGTAGGCTGCCTTATCAGCAACTAGAGAAAAACAAAACATATTTATCATTACAGGAATACAAGTGTGCATTGTGAAACACCCAGATACCATTCATTGTGTGCAGGAAGCATGCCCAACAGGAACCAAGCAAGTCCCCCTGCAAGGTTTTCAGGTGCATTTTCGCAAAACCTGAATGATTTTACTTGCTGCCTGGAGTTACTTTTTAACTCATTCTCACAATGCCCTGTGTGGAGGTGATGTTAATCTAGATTCTTATTTACAGCTAGGAGAGAGCAAACCTACATGTTACTGACAGCTCCAAATCTCCTTTAATGATGGAAAACCAATCAGCATGCTTTTCAATCATGTAGTCACTATGATATCTAACCAATGGTGATCACATGGCTTTGTTTATAAACAGATGACAGTGACAGTTGGTGCACATTATTCACTATGCAATCACTCTACCCAGAGGACAGTTTTTTTTTTTTGCTTTATTACAGGAAATTACAGTGTGTTACAAAGTAATAATTATCAGATATAATAATTGGAGTGAAAAATACGGTACATATACAGTATATGTTTACATATTTTTTCCTTGGATATTTTTTTTTCTTTGGATTTACACTAAATTTGTATATGAAATTTATTTTGTTAATTTATTATTTTGTTAATAAAATTTATAAGTTAAACTGGCTGGACCTGGATAGTAACCTCTTTATTTCGGAGGGTTCTTCTCTCAACCCCTGACTGTTTGGTATGGTTACGAGGTCCGCACCACCACTTAATGGTGAATTGCTGAACCTATCCCTATATTATTTATAGTTTTAAAAAAGTCTTTTTACTCTCCTTCTTTTTAATTTTTTTCTTTTGCAGTGTATGTCGCCCACCTCCTCTTCCCAGGCAAGGCCTACCCCCATCTTCTCACAACTCCTCACCCTCTGTGCCGTCTGGCTCAGCCTGCTCCTCTCTTTGCTTCTGCTTGAACTTCATGTTTCCATAGTGCATGACAGCACCGGTCAACTTGTAGATGGAAACTTTCTCATCAGCAGTGAAGCCCAGGATGTCAATGGCACTCTGCAAATTAGAACAGGAGAATTAATTGAGCTGGAAAATGGTCTTCTCATCCATGGATCACAAGGATTGTTATAAAGAAAAAGAAAATAAAACAGTGGTCTCCAAACTGGCCCTTTGCTTGCTTTTATTTAGACCTTGGGGACACTATTTCTACCACTTATACGAAGACGTATACCACCCACTGACACCAACAATTGGCCAATAATTCCTGCCAATGACACCAATGGTGGGACACAATTCCTCATACTGACCAAAAAGATGAGGTATTGTTTTCTCCCACACTAAGACATTTTCTACTCCCACTGGCCAAAGTCCAGCCCCCTAAAGCCTGAAGGACATTAAATTGGCCCTTTGTTCAGAAAATTTGGAGACCCCTGAAATAAAATAACGGGATATGTATAGGATGATTAGACATGCGTTTTAAAAGGGCAGCTCTAGCCAAAGTGTTTGGAGCACCATCACACTGACACCTGTTCTGAACTCTCCCCTACTACAGGACCACTGAAACATCTCCCACTTATCAGTTTCCACAGTAGCCACACTTTCTGCCAGCCTGATTTCATTAGGCATGTGATAGCTCATTATATAATTCTTGGAAAATAAAGCAATATCCTGAATTATAAAGAAATACATAAATGAATTTACAGCTATTTTACGTTAGTCTGGAGTGCCACGTTAATAAAAAAAGTAACTCAATCAAAGACGCATTCCAATGAAAAATGTAATTAATTCATTCATTACAGTCTTTAGAAGGAGTTAGGCCCCATGTACAGGGGACACTTCTGAACGATGGAAACTGACTGCTGGAAAACATAGGTAAAAAAACGTCTGTTTAGCCACGTTTGCATAACGCATTTATGTGCGTTTGCGTTTAGAAGCATTTTTTAAAGACAAGCACAGGAGAACCTCCCAAATGCCCAGAATGCACTTAAAAGTGGTAAATTATTAACTATTTCAGACTGTTTCAGAGAAATACAGAGAGTAGAAGCAGAGACAGCAGTATGTGTTGAGATTAGCTTAGGTGTGAGTTGCTCATTATCATTTAATTTGTTTCCAAGGGTGGGAAAGGTGTCTGGCTGGCAGAATGAGTCATTAAGGCCACCTGGCAGGGGGTCCTCAAGAGGAATTAGAGGTGTGAATGGTCATTAACATATCCTTTGTTTCCATGGGTGGGAGAGGTCTGAGGTGTGAATTGGTCCTTACAATATGTGACAAACTTGGTAGGAACATCCTGTGTTCAGTGTTTTGTCCATCTGAGCACCTTGAAAATGCTTTGCATGCATTTTTCATTATGAAAAAAGGTTCTGGACAGCAACAGGAACTGGAAGAGTTAAAAAAATTTCACACACAAATGCTTCTAAACGTGATTTTCCGTGTTTAGACGCATTTACAAGCAGTTTGCGTTTGAAACGCTGATAACATCGACGTCTGAATGCAATTTTTTTGCATTAAAAAACGACTCTAAACTCAACTGCCTGTAAAGGACGATGTGTACATGGACACATAGGAAAACATTAGGGTGAGTTCAGGGGCTGCTGAACAAAACGCTGAACAGCTCCTAAACGTGAGTTTATCAGCTGCAGTGTACATGAGCCCCCAGTGTGTGCTGGTAGAGATTGGATGCATGGCAAAATCTAAAACTGTCCAGTCATTACAGAATTGATCAGCGAACATACATGTGTTGGGGGTTATGACTTGAGGGCTATATAACATGGAGCTAAATGACTACAAACAGATTTGTGCCGCCTCTTCCAGTAATGGGAATTCTTTGTGTTGGTTTACAATGTTCATGTATTTTGTGCGACAACTAGATCAGTATTCAATAGAGATATACTTTTCAACCAGTAGATGTCAGTGTTTATAAGTTTGTAGGTAAACTCTATCTCTTTACTCTGAATCAAGTTTCCTGTTTCCTTGAAGCAGAAAAGCCCATGTAGACTGCACACTGTCTGTTCTTTAGGGCTATATAAAGAAATTCTAACACTTTGCTCATTGTCTA